TATATGTTACTAAAGTATATATACTATAGATAAATTTAGATATTTACATGCTCGTGTGGATTTATTTAGTTTTGTATTTATATATCTTGCACACATTGCTTTGTCTTCATCCGCGTCAAAATTTCATTTGAGTGCGCATGTAGTTTGTAGATGTGGTTATTTTTCTTCATTTATATAGGCCTTCTCATTTTGTTATATCCCTGTAGAGTCATACACACTTTTATTTATACAGATCTATATATTATTATATCAAATTGGTTGAAATCGACATTTTTAATAGCATTCAAAAGCTTGTTTCGAAGTACTGAATGTTGTTCTCGTCTTATAGGCTACATTTTTTTCCTTCAAGTAGCCACCTACATTATACTCCTGATTTTATTTTCAATGATGCAAATTCAAGCTATCTCTATGCTACGCCAAGCCACCAGTATTTTCCAAAAGATTGGAGGGGATAGGCTTATGGCGAGTACATATTATCTTCTACCTGTATTCATCTTCTCGGTTAACTGAAGCCCACTACGCTAGAAATATAACGAAAAAGTAGTAGTGCGAAATACGCGATGCCCTCAGATTTACCATGTTTTAGTAACATTCGAACCCCCATCAATGTCATATCATACAGAGGCAATGCAGCTGATGGTGGAGGGCGACAAGTTCGAGCTGTACATTCCTTCCGAACTCGCCTACGGAGAGCGCGGCAGTGGCGCAAAGATACCCGGCGGTGCCGCCCTAGTATTCACCATTGAGATGCTCGAAATCTTGGGTGATAAGGTGGATGCGTGGAAGTGCAATGTAGTCACCAAGGAACACTGCACGGATCGCGAGAACACGTACATTGACAAGATGAGCGCCAAGGGAATTGACGACAACCAGAAAGAGCTGGAGCGTGTGACAAAGATCAACAAGGGCAAGCTCAAGCCCGAGCTGAAGAACTGGAACTCTGTGCGCATCAAGATTCTGGAGGGCTTGGCGACGCCCAAGAGCGAGAACGAGGCTGTGGATGTGGCTGAGTCGGTGGACAGTGAGGGAACGAAAGATGAACTGTAGACAGTTATACAGTTATACAGTAGAGTGTAGCGTAAGCTATTTGTAGCTTATTACTTAGGCACCAGAGATCTTCATAAAAAGTAGTCATATAGTTGTGGTTTAATCTATCAACTGGTAGCGCATCAATTGGACACTTGTGATTTTCAGAACGACTGAGTCGTATAGAGAGTGAGATATAGTGACTCTCCTCGTCCCATCAAATACAAAGTAATGATTGGTATAAAAGTCGCCACGCAGAAGTGTGAATCATGGCATGACATAATTTTGAATAGAGAAGTGTAATACCCCTCTCGAAGTCTAGACAAGATCCTGGAACGGAAGGCAGGTATTCAGTGAGAGCGTCTGTGATGAAGACGAAGTGTTTATCGAAAGTCTGGGAATCGTCATAATGGTTTTGTATATAAACGGATGCTCCTCGGATATTAATATACCAGTGTTCCGGTTATTTCTCATATCTGATTTCCTTCCCTAGTTCACCTGGTTTCGACAACATGGATGTAAATAATACCATTTGCTGGTATGAATCTGCAGAGTATCATTTCGGCACGATTCGTGGACACTCCTGGGACACCATAACCATATCTCCACGCAGCCTTGTGGATGGGGCTCGAACAATTTAACATCGTACGTTGGCAGGATAATCAGAAGTGTGATTTTTTTTCCCAGATTGATCTCCCATAATCAAGGTGCTGGGTATGCCTACACTAGCCCATCCTGAAAACTCGCTGTACTGAGGATAAAAGTCAAGAGCACGTTCTTCTGTATCCTACAAACAAGAGCGAGATTGTAGTAGTGCAAAATGTTGTCACATCCAATCACAATGCAGCTGATTAATAAGAATACACCGCATAACAGTATAAAATCGAAAATCAAAATGGTACAGAGACACAAAGCCACGAGCGCCATTGCCTACTATTGTGAGCACACCTTAATACAAACAAGCGACGCTTCTGAAATCGTGCTCGCAATTATTAACAATTAAAGTAAAGACGTTACTGCGGATTTCCATGAATTCACATATGCTACCAGTGACAATTAAACTTTATTTATATACTCCCAATGATAAAACTTCATTGTGGAGGTTGTTCTTCATGGCAAACCTATCCTATGTAAACGTTGTTCCATTCGACATTCAGATTCGAAGCTTCCAATTCTGCTGGACTCATATTTCATAAACAATTGATCATATTAATATTCCTCTGACAATTAATCGTTCTCTACTACAGGCTCGTCGGTAGGGGGTATTCTCTCGCTGTACACCTGCGATGTACAAATAGTATAAGGTGATCAGTTTACATATCGCGAATAGTGCCCATAACACCAATGCGAGCATATGTGTGCCCAGAGAACACGCATATCTCCCACCGGATATTCTTCTCAGATGATATAACTAACTAGTACCACCAAATACCAAACGGCATGATTTTTTTTGGCACGTAAATTAAGTCGTCAATCTCCAAAAATCACATCCTTCATCTCGACGTACAACTATCTAAACCTCCTAATTTTCAACAAATTCTAGCATACTTCCAACAAAAACTTACATCAACAATCTCTGAACCGGCGAATAGTGTAGGACCTTTCTTCCCCTCGACACACTCTGCGTCAATCAGAACAGCTGTGATGTTTGATCCTGGAGCCTCGAACATTGATTCTGATGTAAAAGGCAATCAGATGGAACATGATTTAAGTACAGCTTTAAATAGAGATCGACGATATTGAAATACGTATGCCGCTGCATGTCTGTTATGGGGTTGCTGCTTGCACATACATGCCAACTTCCATTTCACAATATATATATATATATAATAGTCATATACAGACATGTTGACTTGATAAGTAAAATATCGACTTTAAGAAATGAGCAATATATATGACACTTTAGCACTGTCTCGATTCACAGTGGAAGGGTCACAAGCAGTGACAACTAAGAACACTAAACAATGCCAATGCCTTTTCTACCACACTGTCTTAAGTACAACTGTACCATATATCTGCACCACTTACCACCCGCGCGGGTTATCCTTATGTATAGCAGCAACTATGGGCATATACACGATAGGACATTGACTTGATCGACTAAGCAGTTATGTGAACTTGGACGCATCAACATGACATAAACATACATACATAAAAATACACACACACACATATATATATTATGCCTATACATACATACATACATACATATGTATATATATATAATATACATAGTCATTACAGAAGGAAATTAGTACCTAACAGCAATCGCTCCATGGTAGACTTCAGTGCTCTCGCGCCTGTTCGTTTCTCGTATGCCTCGGTGGCAATAGCTTTCAGAGCATCATCCGTGAAGAGCAATTGTATCTGCAAAAATTAATGGGAGTGACAGAACATATAATTAATCCTAGAAAGCTCATGATAAATAAATAAAAAAGTATGGTTTAAATGCTATCAACGAGTCGTTAATATGGCGCAGATTGACGGTGGGTGCAATATCTTATCAGCACTAGACCTGTAGTAAGCTCTGAACACTCGAAACATCTTCCTTCTATACCACCGTTGGGTGTGTTTGCGGCAACATGAACTACACATATATCGAACAGAAAACAAAAACGTTCCAGATACCGTTCAAACGCCGAACGTCAATAAAAACCAAAAACAAACACCCGTGCAATACAACGGAAGTGAGGTATGATCCAAGCAAAGAACCAAACGATCCCTTGGTTCTACAAAGAACTAACGATCAACTATTGAACATGCTTCCAGACAAACTCCATATGCAGGTTAGAACTGTAAATACATCTGCAAGTTCGAATTTTAAATGTGCGCCGCAACTTACCCCGTCCATCTCGAACAAAGCGTGATACTGCGCTACAGCTGCATTCTTGGGCTCTGTCAGGACTCTGACTAGCTCCGACACACTGAGCGTGTCCAAGCCAACGTGCACAGGGAAACGGCCGACAAATTCTGGGATCAATCCGAAGCTCACCTAGAGAGGTAAAGAAAAAAAATGAAGCCAGTACATGTAGGTAAGTATAAGCTAAGACGTCAGCTATACATTCCCCAATGTTATGTATTAGTTAGTCTCTATTTGAGGGTAAAGCACGTGATTGCCAAATCAAGCACATCACAGTTGCACATGAAATTGCAACTGCTACTGTTTATATGTCCACATATATATATATATATATATACACGATATGGCGTTACGCAGATGTACACAATGTATACGTTAAAATATACACATCGCATAGCGCTTAAATAATGACGCGACATTTTTAGTCCAATTGTCTTTGGTCAACACAGGACTGTTATATCAATGGTTCGACGTGATTGTCACACATTTCAATAATACAAATACCTAATAACTCCGACATGGACAGCGACTCAATGAACGCAGTTGATCGTTTCACCAGGACTAATGTATTTATGGCTGACATAATTGCCACACATCTCAACCCACATATCCAACGACATCGACACAAACACGTAGCTTATCGCAATCTCCGTATACTTCAATATAGTTTATGATTTAAGCGCATCATGACACACCAGATCCTCGGGCTGAGCCTCCTTCATAGCCTTGTCATCGGTCATGCTCGAGTTGCTAGGGCGATGCACAGTGGCGCCAAATCCGATGCCGGTGACCTTTTTCCTCTCCTGCACTATCTTGTCGAGACCAGGAAAAGCTCCACTTCCCATGAACAAAATATTTGATGTATCTGAAGTCACATAGATGGTATAATTTATAAGTAGAATTAGGCAAAGTCTGAAAGTAGGTCACTGGGAAAAGGATGCAAATGCAGGATACTTGGTGCATCAGTGCAGTGTCCCAAAGTATAAAAAGGCGTCATGTGTATGTGTGTGCATGGCATTGGGACTTAACAGAATCTATTCCGATAGAATCGTTTTGAGGGATAATGCCATATATAAATACGAGGGTCAAACTCCCGTGCGAAGGACGGCGGGCACTACACTAATATAGTGTGACAGCCCAACGGTGATACGCAACGGATATATATATATATATATATATATATATGCTATACACATGGCGTTAAAACCAATAAGCCATAATATACATACCAACTTGTATGAATTCTCCCCTCGGGTTCTTACGACCGCCCTTTTCAGGTACGCTAACAACGGTTCCTTCAAGCATTTTAAGTAGACCTGTGCAAATGGGTGACAGAGAACATGTGTTCAGATTCAGCTCAGTTAACGAACTAAGATTGCCAGAAAGCGGTCATAAGCTAAATGTAGATATTCACAGCTCACCTTGCTGCACACCCTCGCCACTGACATCTCTAGTAACACTTGACCCCGATGACGTTCGTCCGATTTTGTCGATTTCATCCAGGTATACGATACCTGTGCATGAATGATGTATTATTCGTGCAAATAATAAAATAGGTAGATGGGATCTGAATATGTTGGACCACAAGAAAACTATACCGCAAAGTAAAGCCAACACTTCTTGGTGCACGCAGAGTTCCCAATAGAGGACGGGTACGCCTTAAACGACTAAGTGAATTGTACGGCAAAAACAATCGCCCGAAGACTGAAAAACGATATAAGATTCGCTTGCTGATCAAACAAAGTACCTCTCTGTGCTTTCTCGACATTGAAGTCAGCTTCCTTCAAAAGTTTGAAAATCACACTTTCGATATCCTCTCCAACATATCCGGCCTGAAAAAGAAAACCCCGATTTTCTTGATGTCAGATAGATTTAAAGACCATCTAATCCGATAGCCCCATCAAGGAAACAGAAAAAAAAGGGAAGCAAACTACATGTATTCATACCAGAAACGCCCATAAACAAAATAAAAATAAAGCCGGCACTTTTATGCCGTCCATACTTTACAGCGCATACACCAATATAATTATCCGAGTGACACACGCGTTCACCTCCAAAAAAACACAAAAAAAACGACACCTATCATCTGACGGATCTTGTGCAGAAGAGTAAACGAATTAGCGATATATCGATGAGCCCAACCCCTGGATATATATATATATATATATAATGTAAATGCACGCATAAATACCTTCAACTAAGCCGCACTACCCACCTGAGTCAAAACGGTACAGTCACACATGGCGAACGGCACATCCAGGAACTCTGCAAGGGTGCGCGCCAGAAGTGTCTTTCCAGAACCAGTGGGACCAAAGAGAAGGATATTGCTCTTATCAAACGTCAGCTGTGCCTTCGAAGAAATCGTCGGGGATGGAGCACTGCCGGTTGAGCCTGACTCTCCGTTAGCTGAACAGTTAAATAAATTGAAGGCAGTGAAATAAGTGGGGCTATGGAATTCTACTGCAAGATCTAGCTGCGAAACAGTTGAGCCTAACTCTGCAATAGCTGAAAAACCATGTATACTCAAAAATCGAAGACAGAGAGATAAGTGAGGTTAGAGGGATGATGTAAAACCTATGCGTGGAACGGTTGATCTAAACTCTAATCCGTCGGAGTGAATCTTAGTCATACCAACGTGAGTCAGATGAAGGGATAAAGTTGTACGGACAGAAAGATGAATCCCATATCAGGATCGTGGTGTATTTAACCCTTGTAAAAATCTGGCTCAGATAGCCAGTACACGCTAGAGAACTGTGATTTAATACTGACAACGATCGCGAGAATTCTACCGAATAAAATACAACTAAACTCCATGAATCGTTTCACGAATGACCTACAGGTATATCTCTGGAACGACCGTACAGGTGTACGGTCGTCTCCGAGATATGCGAGAGCTTGGCTATAGCGGGATGATATGCTTGTGCATAGAAACATATATACATGGTGTATACAATTCATGCGGGGGGTCAATATATAGGTCTCACAAGGAAAACACTCTCAGAGGGTTTAGGCCGTCTCCACACACTGAGAACACAAGTATGCACACCGATTTCAGCCTCCTTCTCGTTCTCAAATATCTCTTTAGCTTCCCATTTGTATCCGTTGTGGTCATCTGGCGTGAGGAAACTCCTGTCGCCTACCTTCAGCACAGTGCCCTTGGTACCTTCGGCCGGGGGTGGGGTAGCCTTCCTTCCTTCCAAATTGCCTGTGCAGATCAGAAGTACAGGTTGGTATCCATGTAAATATCCAAAACAACAACAATTGAGATCACTATTTTAGCCTACACTAGTATCGATTTCAATTTAAAGAATTGATGTACAACACCGCATTCCCAAAATTATATACCCTCTGCAGCTATATATATACACATTAGGAATATTCACCAGTGTTCTGCCCTCATTGGCAATATGTCACAAGTCGAAATTTCATCGATAATAGGACCTTAACTGATATTGCGAAACCCAATCTTTCGATCACTCTGCTCTTGTGGAATTTCGAACAGCAGTTGGTAGTCGAAGTGTCACATAGAATCAACTATCAGATAGATGCCAGTCTTCGTGTCACCAAACACATAACAATGCAGAAATGATGCTCAAACTATTTTGGTAAAGCTTGAAAACATGAATATAAAATACAGAGATAGTTAGTGAGTATTTATTTACCATAACTGTACTCCATTTCTGAAAAAACCGAGTTCTAGCCCGCGACCTAAATAGAGTTGTCAAACAATAAAAAAATCGCTACCAACTTACCTCTGACACGTTTGAAATGATTGTACACCGCAACGGAGAGAACCTTCTTGGCGTGGTCCTGTCCTATAACATACTCGCCCAGATGCTCGCGGATCTGTCGTAGCAAAAATGCGGTGATCAGAAATGCGTACATAGGACGACACATATTCGCCAATACTTGCAACTAGAAAGTAGCAAGGACATGGTATTGAGACAGGTGCATAACATTGCGTAGCCGTATGTAACTCAGTCGAAAAAGTACATTCAAAAACGATTCCATTCTAGGAGCAAGGTGCACTAAGGCACGATATGAGAGCGATGAAGTCAGAATTTCTCCTCGAGTGAAGAACTATAACACCGCACATCCATAAAAACAGACATAGCGATCATATCAGTTTAAATAATGCAAACCGAGACGGTAATGTACGAACACAAATGAGCTCGTAAAACTAAATTATCGCAGGACATGCGCCACGGAAACGAGATCATCAAAACCATAGACTCCTCGAGAGACATTGATACACACAAAACGAGAGAAACCATGATACATGCGAAAATTATAAGTTATACAATATATATGGAAAACGCAAGAGGTCGGTAACCTTTAATATATATAGGCACACGCACACACACACACACATATATATACGGAAAACTTTAATGTGGTTTACACTAACCTTCTTGGGACTTCTCAAGTCACCCAGTGACGGCTTGGCTTCATCTGAGTCCGAGGTATCGCCAACGTTGGGAATGTCGCCTTCAACGCCATCCAGTTTAAACAACTTGTTGCAATTTAGACACTGAAAGATTTTACCTGATTCTAAGTGGATGGCAAGAACGTTATTCATTTAGCAATTGTACATACAAATCAACAGAACGGGACGAGATTCACACACGTGATGAGAATAGATCCTTGGAACAGTCGACAATACTGTTGGAAACACATAGAATTCAGGTCGCATAGCTTAACTATGGGACGGACGGTTCGGGAAACCAGATGCACAAACATCCTCCGCACAAATATGTACTTAAGTCAAAATGGAAACATAATTGCTTAATTTTTTTAAGAACACAGCAAGTATCACAGTTTCTACTGATGACCGCAGGTAGATTCGGGGTTCAACATGTACAGCAACAGCTGAGTAAACACGCAGGTGTAATGCAATAAACCAATAGCGCCACAAGCAGTGTTCGAGATGCCAATAAGTACAAAGACTTCAGCCACTGAAAACAGAAACAGTAGACTCCACGACATCATATACAGCAACTATAGTAACTACAACATATCTTACACAACAAGAAAGGGACCAGGGCTATACAACACTCTCCGTCTACTCATAAGAGCAACCCTGGCACATGTCCTGTATACCACAGTGGCCTTCAATCAGATATAACACTCCACAATAGTCTGAGACTGCTAACCAGACACAGGAACAACGACTCATGCACACACCGTAATCACATGTAGTCCAAAGTGATGAGATAGAGACAATGCATCATATTGACACACCGGACACAGCAACGATAACGCTCCTCCAATGATGTTCGCCCACATGCACTTCGCAGTGCCATAGAAAATAACTACTTGAGACAGCAACATCATCCTTGTTGGACAGAGTTTGTTGCACACTACAATCAGTAATAAAGTATAATGTAACGAAACAACTTGACTACAGGGATGCATACACATTGTACTGGATAGTCACCTATCGGAAACAGCAACAGTAGCCCTCGTTTAACAGCAAAGATTAAAATAACTAAAAACAGATCGACTAAGAGGTATAACTCACGTGACAGCTACCTATCTGAAACACCAAGACAGCCTTCGTTTTGAGATGGTCACACTGCACAAATCACTCGCTAAAACAACACACCAAAACAACCACTGTGATAAACAGTGAGGATTGGACATTCATACGGGGTACAGAATATCTACCTACCGGCGATAGCAACAACCGCCCTTGTTTTACAGTGTTCGCACTGCATATTAGTAGTCCCAGTGCCCTTGCCCGACCCACCGCCGCCACCCGCAGTAGAGTCGTCAAAAAGCGCAGCGGACGAGTGCAACAGGGACCGGAAGCTCAGGTTGACATCATTGTGTTGCTGTCCTTGTGTCGTTGTGTTTCTGCACACGTACGGCGTGGAGATTAAACTCACATCTACATGATAGAGATATCAAGAATATAAATAAGTAAGCTGACATATGCAGAAATATCATATTATATATATATATATAATAATAATACTAATAATAATAATATGAGATTGAAAGTAGATCATTAACTTGTTGGAAAGTGGAGAGCTAACGGTGTTGAGGGAGTGACTTTGAGCAAGCATCCAACTGGATAATTGTCATCGGCCCAAGCTTATCCGAGTGCCATGATATTACAGCTGGTGACTCTGGATGATTTGTATTGAACTCACGTGATCTAATACTGACTCGAACTGATGAAACGAGTTCGGACCTAAGTGAGCCAGCAACAGTGTGAGTACATACAGGGTAGATAGACGTGAATCGTAGATGGTTAAATAAAACTAATTCCACGGAAGTGCATATCCGTTAGATGTTCATCAGTATGCTTGATAAAAATTGCAAAGTTTAAAACGTGCCACTGTGGAGAAAAATATAAGACGATACAATTATAAACTGCTGCACTCGCACACGAAACAAGTACAACGACGCAAAGCACCAAATTGACAGTTTATGCAAAACTGAACGCGTACAAAAAATTCTATTATATAATAAATACGAAGGAGTGGTATGAAATACTTACGATTCCATACAAGATATACGATAATTTGTCGTTCCCTGCGTAACATGTCAAATTCATTTTTGATACACTACACTGGTTAAGGATACGTCAAAGGCGCTCTGCACTTACTTTTAGAAGCGACTTTCGAAAGCCGAAGCCATGCAGCCGACTGTTGCCTGAGTAATGAAGCAGCTGCCATCTTATTTAATCAGAAAAACTTTCGACTTTCAAGCAAAGTACCTGACGAATGCGGATGACGAGAAAGAGGATGTGTATAATATAGTCTAGTTAGTATCGCAATACATACAAACCAGCCAGCTTCTATTGACCATATAAATATATTTCATCAGTTTGTCTGACGCTGACGTTCATCCCAATTCCCAAGTCATTTCGTCTGCGAAATAAAATAATAATACGAGAAGAGTTGAATATTTACTTGAAGAGAGAGGATCCAATCCGTAGTCTATAAATAGAACTTTCAAATGACGAAAATTAAAATCATCATCATTTTAAAACATATTTTCTAAATTGACCCACCGAGACCCGAATAGGAATATTAAAAATAAATAAATATGTATGCACTGGTCGTTCGAATATTTACGAACGTCTAATTTTTTTATTTTTTTATTTTTTATTTTTGTTTTCTAAAAATAAAACCAAAGTACCCTATGCCAGTGCCTGGCCGCTGGCCGCAACAAAAATGGCGTGTAAATATTTAGAGAAGGAAGTGGCCTGTGTACACTGTACGCTGCACATGACAGTCCACAGTCCACACCCTCTGTGGCCTATTTAGAAAAGGAAGTAGCCTGTGTACACTGCACATGACAGTCCACAATCCACACCCTCTTTTGTGTTTGATTTCAGAAGGCTATGAGATTTGTGTTTTTGTTAGCGCCGGGGACATGGGAAGTGATCAGTGCTATATGAAGTGATACAGTGTCTTCCTTCACGGCTTCACAGCCATGGCCTTCAGGATAAAGTCTCTCTAAAAATGACTTTCTCACTGAGACTGCAACTTTTCCACGGAGACTCAATCCAGAGGGCCATGTCATAACGATGTATATTATACTGTCCTCGGTATTCGGTAATCATAAATTTGGTTTGAGAGAATGTAATCCGGCTTAAAAATAAGCACACACTCCGGGAGTGGCACTTTAATCAGTGTATTGAACAAGATATGTGCAATTCTGCGCTGGAGAAGTACAGCATAGCCATACAACGAGATTCTTCACAACAGCGATGCATATTCACACTCAGTACTATCGTACTATCGACATGGGCGTGACAGAAATATGACATGGGCGCGACAGAACTAAACACACTTTGTGACCAGGCCGACAATAAAAAAAATTATGCGCTGAGAAGTGCTATATATCGATATGACGAGTATCTTCGCAACAATATATGTACGCAGTCCAGTCGCACTATTGACATAAGCATAGATTTTGGCTATGGCAGAAGAATACTGCATTCAGCTATGTTCGTCTCCCCCTGTCACTGTGTATATATTTATTTTCTCAAAGCTATGTACTAGGGCAAATGGCTGAAGACGTTGTCACAGATGAATTGATTTCAGACTGGGTCACAGTCCGCCAGGGCACCAGGCGCTGGTCATCAGTCCTTCAGCTCGGGGAGGGGGCGTCGGACTCGGAGAGGCTTGGATAGTGTCACCCGGGCCCGTCGGCCCCGTCCCAGCGGCCAACGACTACGGACAAATTCCTTCTGGTGTCGACAACCAATGGTATGCTCGAATTTCTCTAAGTATGGTAATTTACAATTTTTTTACCTATTAGAAAAAAAAGTACTTCATCCAATGTATGTATGTAAATATCAACTATATATAATTATATTGATTTCGTTACCTTTGGTGCAATAGTAAGGCGAATTCAGTTGTCAGTCAAATTGTAACGATGGCATACATAGGTTATATGCCACCTCAAGCTCGAGGTCGGGGCCAAGAAGACGCCTGGCAGGATTTTGGTAGTGAGGTGAGCGGTGCTGTGAAAAGCAGCGTCACAGCTGGTATGTAGCGTTCTCGTGATTATTATGAATGCTTATCTATATTATAAAACAGTACAGAGTGAATGTGTGCGAAGTTATTATGTATGGCACAACTACTTATAATTCCTTGTAAGATATTACTGTATGGGACAAGATAGATGTCTGGTAGTGTGGAAGGCTTAGTTGTATACACGCTATGAGGGTTGCCATGTGGTGTACGTGAAAACATTATATTTTGCCTGAGTCGCTTTGGAAATCCTAGCGCCGTGTTCTGTGGTACCTGTTATGGTCCTACTTGTTGTTTTTTGTTTATTTGGCGAGAGAAAAGATATAGTTTGAACTCGTACAAGCCATGCGGATTGGATTTTCAATTGCTTTTCACTCTTTGTATAATTGATCACGCTTGACTGCCGTTTGCACATTGTATATTTCTGACTGCTCTTCATAGCAGATCTTTCCAAAGAAAATGATTGATACTGTCG